TCAAAAATCTCTGAACACAAAGGTATTGCTTAAACAGAACAAAGTTCAAAGAAAGCCTGATTTAACCAAATCAAATCTCTGCCAAGGTCAACAAAAAAAAAAAAAAAAAAAAAAAAAAAAAAAAATATATATATATATATATATATATATATATATAGAGAGAGAGAGAGAGAGAGAGAGAGAGAGAGAATTAAACTGATGTAAGTTTGAGACCAGGCCTATGTATTTCTCTCTTTGAGGAGTAACCCTGGTTTTCTGTCTGATTTCATGAAAGTCCAATTGTTTTCTGAGGTCTATTTATTCTTTAAAACATTAAGAAGCTTGTGATTTTTTTTTTGGTTCTGGGAATTGAACCTAGGGGTGCTTAACTACTGAGCCACATCCCCAGCCCTTTTTTGTATTTCATTTAAAGACAAGGTCTCACTGAGTTGCTTAGGACCTCAATAAGTTGCTAAGACTGGCTTCGAACTTTGAATACTCCTGCCTCAGTCTCCCAAGCCACTGAGGTTACAGGCATGTGCCACCATGCCCCGCTGTGTATTTTCTTAAGTGTTCTTGGATATGTGATTTGCGATTTTGTTACAGGAGTTCTAAGCTGAAAACAGTTTGGCCAAAAGCATTATCTTCATCCTAAAGAAGCCTTTACAGCTGACTCATGGGTGCATACCTGTAATCCCAGCAACTGGGGAAGCTGATGTAGGGGGATTGCAACTTAGAGGACAGCCTCCCGATTTAGTGAGACCCTGTCTCAAAATTAGAATAAGGTCTGGGATGTGGCTGGGTGGTAAAATGCTTCTGGGTTAAATGCCCAGTACCAAAAATAGAAAGAAAGGAAGAAAAGCTTTATACCTGCACCTTGTAAAAGAGAAGTTTTAATTGTTGAATTCCATTCACAGCAAATACACTAAGGTGCTGAGATAAATGATAATTAAAACAGGGTTATGGTAAAAGTTCATATTTAGTTATTTATTCTTACTGCTTGTTCTTCAGGACTGACACAGTGGTTTAGATCTTGCTCTTTTTCCAAGTAATGTAACATTTCATAGTAGACATTTGATATTAAATGAATTAGGTAAGATGTACTTCACCCTGAGGTTGTGAAACCTGCAGCATGACATTCTAATCAACAGTACAAATCTGTGAAGAAGGATTTTGTCATCGGCTTAGAGCAGGAAAAACCTAAGTAGAGTGAAGGTAGCTAAGATCATTACTGAAGTCATTAATTATGTTGTCCAATCACCCAGTTTCTACTTCCCTTTGGCCTCAAAAGTCAAAGTCTACTCTCAAAAACAAAACAAAAACCCCTACTTTCCCAGTAGGAAAGTTTGAATTCTTCACCTTACAGCCGATCCACAAACTCTTAAAGAGGAAATAAAACTGCCATTTAATGTAATGTTGGAGGATGGGGTGTATGGCTCAATAGAGTGCTCTCCTAGCTTGCGTATGGCCTGGGGTTAGATTCTCAGCACTAATTAAAAAAAAAAAAAAGTGCTGTTAATGAACTTCAGTGTGACTATGCTATGGATAATCGAGTTTAAAAATTAAAAGTACCTCTGAATCTCCAGTAAAAAAGCAAAGGCCTTCTTTACTTGATCACATTTTTAACATACATATTTAACTATCTCTTTAAAATAATTCCCTGGAATATGACAACAGAATGTGAAATAAAATAATGTGATGAACATTAACCGGTTCAGCTACTAGTGGTGGCATAATCCCAACAGAGGATGATGACGTTTGTAGTCTCAAGTAATCCTCAAAGACCGGGGAGAGGAACTGTTTGTCCCACTCCACGAAAGCAGCCACTGAAGTCTGCATTCATTGCCCGCGAGGTGACGTCCAAGACGCGGGGATTTCCGCAGCGGTGACACACGCCACTTCCGGCCGGCAGTCTGAGTCAGTGACGTGGCAGGCTAGTCCGGGCACCGTCCACGGGGCCGGGACGACGGGACAGTCAGGTGGCCTCGGGGCAGCCCCACGGGGAGAGGTGAGCGCTGGAGAAGCCGCGAGCCCGGAGCCGGAAGTGCCACGTGTCCTGATTGCGCCTGCGCGGCCAGCGGCTGACAGGCACTTCCGGTCGGGGCCTCCCTCCTCTCCGGTTTAGGCTGCCGCCTCCCAGCCCGGCATTCGCGGCCCCACTGGCCCKACTTCTAAGCTTCAGTTCCCAGGCCAGGCCGTGGATGCCGGCGGGGCTGGGGAGAGCGAAGCGCCATGCCTCGGGCTTGATGCTCCGCCCTCTCCTCCAGTCTTCAGTCCTAAGTCTTTGGCCCTCTCCCTCTGCTTTCAGCAGTCTCTCCGCTGGGCGCTGTTGTCGACTCAGACCAGTACCTTCCAACAAGGATAACTACGGTCGTCATGTCCCAGCCCGGGATACCGGCCTCCGGCGGCGCCCCAACAGGCCTCCAGGCCCAGAACGGGGCCTCTTCGACCTCGGGGTCTCCCTACACCAACGGTGAGTGCTGCACGGGGGCGAAGAGCAGGGCTCAGCGTGGGCCCGGGCTGGAACTCACCTTTGGATGCTGTTTACTCTTCAGGCGACCGAGGAAGAGAGGGTGACCTCTCGGCTGGGGTCTGGCGCGGGTGGTGGTGGGCGGCTGAGCCCCCGATGCCGCGGCGTTTGTGCACTCTCAGGCGCGGGCTCGTTTTTAGCGTTTCACACACACACACATTCAGTCAGCAAACAGTTAAAGAGCACCCGCTGTATGCAACGCCCTGGCAAACAAGGGTGGAAAAAAAAAAAAAAAAAAAGCAGATTCCGTCAATCCCTCAAAAAACGGTCCTAGTGGCTGTGCCTTCACCCTCCGCGCCACCTAGCTCCAGTCTCCAGGGGAGCAGAGTTTGGAGTCTGATTCGTCTCGAGCAGGTTGGGGTCGTATTTATTCTGAGTTTGCGGACATGAATGAATGAGTGACTTCTTGCGGAGACCCCTTTAGGATCTACTCATCTCTCCCAGGACTTTCCCAGAACTGTGCCTGGGCCACCTGTTCAGTTTTTCAGCCTTGAAAGAACCAAATAGATTTGTTGTCTGATTTCCTAAGGCCTTTACATCACTTGGAAAATGGTTGGACCTCTGAGAGGCATGTACATGTGGCACTGTAATTTGTAATTTGTGTGAGAATGTCTTAGTTTTATAACTCTTCTAGGATTCCTTGAATTGTCGTACGTGGTGATTTGCTAAACTTTTTTTTTAATTGTTGTAATCGAGAAAGATTTTCTGCCAACAGTCTGCCTACTTACCAGTTAACTTACACATCTTTGGTTTATGGAAATAATACCAGTAGAATAATACTAAAGTGCTTAAATTGCACACTGGAATCTAAGATTACTGTGAAGTTGGAGAAAATAGCCAGTGACTAAAATGGCCAATTTACATTGTTTTTAGAGAAGTCTACTGTTTTCTTTACAAAGAAGGCTCTTTTTAGGACTTTTAAAATATCTATGGGTAGGCAGCTATGTGGGCAGAAGCTAGAATAGGGAATAGGCACTGAAAATGCGTTAACTTGAATCACTTGTTCTTTCTCAAGTTTATAGTAACAGATTATGTAAAGTACATTCTATTCTATGGTATTTAGTAACATTTACCCGGAAGATGAAATCATTTTAAGACATTCACTTTAAGGTGAAAAATTAAACAAGATGTTACAGGGCCATGCATTTTTCATATAATTGCTAAATTGCAACCTTTTTTTAATTGTTAAATTTGTTTTAATTAGTTATACATGACAATAGAATGCATTTATGCACTTTGTTATATCATACATAGTTGGGATATAAATTCTCATTTTTCTGAGTGTACATGTTGGAGAATCATTGGTCATGTAGTCACATATATACATACAGTAATAATGTCTGTTTCATTCTCCCATCTTCTAAATTGCAATCTAAATAAACTTTTTAAAAAATATATTTTTAGTTGTAGATGGATACAATACCTTTATTTTGTTTATTTAGTTTTTTATGTTGTGCTAGGGATCAAACCTAGGGCCTCACACACACTAGGCAAGTGTTCCACTGCTGGGCTACAACCCAGCCCTTATATAAACTTTTGAAAGCAAATCTTGCAATGTACTTCTAAGTTTATATGTAAGTGTAGTTACTATAATTTTGAAGTGCTAAAGGAATCTAACTGTGATATGCTGTTTTTGAATTGTTATCACTATGTTGATTTGATTCAGGTCAATGGGCATTTGTTGCACCTTCTAAGGTCTGTCCTTGAAGACATAGAAGAGAATAAGAAAGCACTTCCTGTGCATAGGTTGCCCAGAGCCAGTTGGAAATTCAGCATTTTGACTAGTGATTGCATTTTAGGATGATTGCAGCTGAAAGAATGCAGCCAATTTGAGATGAGGAGTGAAATAACAGGAGTTTGCATATAAGCCTCTTTTAAGATATAATTTCAGTCTTTTTTTTTTTTTTTTTGGAGGGGAGCACTCTACCACTGAGGAACATCCCCAGCCTTTTTTTTTTTTTTATTTTGAGATGAGCTAAGTTGCTAAGTTGCCCGGGCTGTCCTTGAATTTGAATTCTTTCTGCCTAGCCTCCCAAGTAGTTAGTATTACAAGTGTGCACAACTGCCCCCTTGCTTCATATTCTTTTTTTTTTTTTTAACATTTTAGTTGTTGATGGATAAAATACCTTTATTATATTTATTTATTTTCATGTGGTGCTGAGGATTGAACCCAGGGCCTCATACATGCTAGGCAAGCACTCTACCGTTAGGTCGCAACCCTAGTCTCCTTCATATTCTTATTTATAAGCTCCATTTCTAAAGTTTATTTTCAATAAATGGCCAATATCCTATGTTGGGTTTTGTTGTTGTTATTGATCCCAGTAGTAATACAGAGAGTAGGGATGTGGTGGTGAAATGAGCAGGATAGGGGTGGAGGGGATATTCCTCTAGAAGGTTGAAAAAAAAAAAAAAAGGTTCAGTGGGCATAATGGTGCATATCTGTAATCCCAGCGACTCTCAGCGACTCTGGAGGTTGAGGCAGGAGGATTGCAAGTTCCAGGCCAATCTCAGTAATTTAGTGAGGCCTTAAGCAACTTAGTGAGACCCTGTTTCAAAAGATAAAAAGAGCTGAGGATGTAGCTCAGTGGTAAAGCATCTGTGGGTTCAGTCTTCAGTACAAGAGAAAAATAAATTAAACAAATGAAAAAAAAAAGATTCAATGCTGGAATCTAGTTTTAGTTCATTCTTTCAAGGCAGTAATTGCTGCCTAAGTATTCTATTGAAAACTCAAGCTTTAAATTTAATGTAGCTTGCATAAATTTCATAGTATAGTTAGATGTTCAGACATTTTTAGATTATAATCAAAGGCCTATTAATAATGACCTTTTTCATTTTTTTATAACTTGCTTTTATATTGTGTGGTGTTATTATGTTACAGAATTTGCATTATGACCTAAAAGTTGTTTAGACAAGTTTTTCTAAATCTTTGTGTGGATTGTATATAACATATTTCTTTTGCAAAAAAATTGATAGTGAGACTCTATAGTGCTTAAACTAGCTGATCTTTTTTTTAACTAGCTGATCTTAATCTGATTAGCATGTAATAAGGCTAAAGTCAAATAATTAATCCCATTGAACCTTACCTCCTTTATCAACTATTTGAATCAATGTGCCAAGACAGAAATTGCAGTTTTATTGCTTTCATTTGTTTATAATAATTATGTAATATTCACTTTTTTACTATAGAATTAAGGGTGAGAAGGATATTCTCCACCTTTCTCCTTTATTCCTAATATATCGTAGCTTTATAATATTTGTTTAGCTTCCCTCTAGACTATAAGCCCTATGAAGAGAAGGATATCTCATTTTGCATATTATTCTTTCTCCAGCTCCCCACAGTGTGTAGCACATTTTAGGAGTAGCCAGTTTTGTTGAACAAAAGTGTTAGAATTGGGTATTTTGTAAGTCATTTCACTAAATATGTATTGATTTGTTAATAGTAAAATTGGAGCTCACTTCCAAATTCTTTTTTTCTTCTGGCTCTTTTTTGCACAATATCATCAGTCAAAACAATAGAATTTGTGAGCCCAGCATCATGGTGCACATATGTAATCCTGGCAACTCAGGAGGCTAAGGCTAGAGAATTCATCCTAGACAGCCTGTCTCAAAATGAAAGGGTGTGGGGATGTAGCTCAGTGGTAAAGTGTCCCTGGGTTCAATCCCCAGTACTAAAAAACAAACAAACAAACAAACAAAAAACACCAACCCATCCAGAGTTGTTTTTTTTTTCCCCCCAGAGGGGGCATCAGGGGGCTAGGACTGTAGCTCAGTGGTGGAGCGCTTGCCTTGCATGTGTGAGGCACTGGGTTTGATCCTCAGCACCACATATAAATAAATAAAATAAAGGTTAAAAAGAAAAAAAAAAAAACAACACTATTTTTAAAAAATGCTATTCATCTAATTTAGGAGTAACAAAAATGTCAATTTTCAAATTTCCCTCTAATGTAAATCATGCTTATGATTGTGTATTTAATATAAGAAGTCTTTAATTATGAAACAAACATGATCTAAATAAAAGTGGCATGTGGTCTGTAACACTGATTATTGTGTTTTCAGTAGTAGAGGCTGTAACTCTGGATTCCCACAATACCTTTTGCAGATCTCTTTTAGAATTTACCAGTTGGGTGCAGTAGCACACACCTGTAATCCCAGTGGCTCAGGAGCCTCACAAGTTCAAAACCAGCCTCAGCAATTTAGCAAGGCTCTAAGCAACTTAGTGAGACCTTGTCTCAAAATAAAAAATGAAAGAAGGGCTGGGGATGTGGCTTACTGGTTAAGCACCCCTGGTTCAATCCCTGGTACTGAAAAACAAACAAACAAAAAAACCTACCATATATTGCATGTAGTAACCATTGTGCTTCTTGTTTTATCTCCGCTAATAGACTGAGAGCTTCTTAAAGACAGAAACAGTGCTGGTTGCAGGGGTCACAGTGGCCTGTAATCCCAGCTACTCTGGAGGCTGATGTAGTAAGTTCAAAAGTTTAAAGCCAGCCTGGGCAACTTAGTGAGACTCAAAAAGGGCTGAGGATATAGCTCAGTGGTAGAGTGCTCCTGGGTTTTATGCCCAGTACCACAAAAAAATGGGTGGTAGGGGGGAGAGAAATAGTAACAAGAATTAGTATTTATTTTATTGTCACTTACTATGTGCCCAGGCCCTATGCTTTGTGGTTCTGTTATATGCATCATCTCATAGCATCTCATTTAATTCTTGCAATAGCCCTATGAGGTAAGGAGTGTTTTGTTTTTCAGATGTAGATGGACACAATAGCTATTTATTTTTAATGTGGTGTTGAGGATTGAACCTAGTGCCCCACACATGCAAGGCAAGCGCAAGCGCTCTAACACTGAACTACAACCCAGCCCTGCAAATAGATGTCTTTATTTTTTTAATTTTTTTTTTTGTTGATGGACCTTTATTTTATTTATTGTATGTGGTGCTGAGA